CCCCTGTGCCATGACGCGTATGTTCTATTTCTCCTTTAAAATGACTTGGGCACAACTTCACATAAAATAAAGTTGAGTTTTACGTCTTGTACAATTATTTTAGACGACTGGCCGCCTCAGCAGAAAGCAAATTGTGAGCCGCCACTAGATTTTGAACTCAGAAAGAGCCTAAAAGACAAACACGCTACCTCTGCACCATCACAGGGACAGTACACGTACATACTAGCGCACATCTACATCTGTTACTATAGTTTGAGCTGTTTGGCAAATAAAACCTCGCGACTTAGCGGGCTGCTTTCGGACTATGCTAAAACTTTCAACCGGTATCTTTGTGCCATTATAAAAATCTAGGAGATCAAGCACCTCAATTTTCCCTCAAAGCTGTTTAACGGCAATATACTTCCACTATCATAGCACTATATCTTGCACTATGCAAGTACACTTGTTAACTGACACAGACGTGCGAGACACTTCTTGTTTACATCTTCCCTTAAAAATTATTGCGAAGTTGCCACTCGTCTAGTTAAAAATTTAGATAAAAAAAAGCGTACTGAATTTTACGTAGACGATATTATTAAAAAAAAAAAAGAACAGTTAGACAACCCAGCAAATACACGCATTGACGATAACATACAAATCAGTTTGCTCTATGTATTAAAATAGCATGCTTGACCAACAAGGCGAATTTTAATGATAAAGCATTCTGATCGATCGGCTTTACAGATGGAAGCCCGCATTCACTCGATATACCGACAACATTTGCTGGATCTTTGATATCTATCGAGTGGCTAGTAAATCCGACCATTCTTTTGTGAAGTGTCCAGCTCCTTAGGTGTATTGTACGTTCGCGCAGAGCTCTTGTATCAAGGAAGTCACAGTTATTTTTAATACCATTTTTATACATATTACTAATTGGTCCTCGTGATGACTCCTCTTTAAAGCCGTTCTGGAGCCTTTCGTTCGTTATGTTATCAAGTCTATCACTCAATGTTAGACCTCTGAAGAAATTCGCACATTTGTGTATTGTCTTAATCTACATTTAGATGTTGACGGTTATTTATTCTAGCTGGTACTGATTTTGATTGAAGCGGCTTTCCCGCTTCAGATTTGAGGACAAGTTTTTCTGCGAACATACTGAAGCTAAAGGAACGACGCTTTGTCGCAGGAATTTTACATGGGCCTAATACAACAGGAGCGTTGACCAGACCTACTATGCGTTTTCGAGCTGCTGAACAGTACCGCATCGCCATATCTCGGTTAACTTTATAGTTCCGTTCTCGCTTGAAAGTCCAGCTTTTAGGCCTATACCAAAAATTGTTACGGCGCCGTGTGGCCTCATGAGCCGAACTAATTTCATTCTTCTGTCGCTATCAGTAGCTACTTTGTCCAGTTGCCTATTATTCTTTTACAACCAAATGACAAATGAATACAGTAACTGTCTTCCATCTTTCCTCAGACGGGTTCATCTTCGCTGCCCCTTCCATACGAGTCCGCGTGCACTAACTATTCGAGACTTACGCAGATATCAGCATACTCAGATCGGCAACTGCATGCCGATGAGTGCGTGGAACGCTGCATTATGGATCGAGGGGTCGATGCGTGCCAGTGCATATCGAAGCTCTACGCACTCAAGCATCTTTTTAAGACGCCGACGTGCGATGTTTTTAGTCGTGGCAAGTAACTGGCCAGGAAATCATTTCCATCTGATCGTGCCGGAAACGTCCAGTGTTTACGTAAGTAGGCAATGATGGAATAGAACGTGAGATAAGACACATTAATTATATAGGGGTGAGTACGTCACCAATTGATTATGCCTTGCAGTTCAGTGCACGTCGTTAATCCGCAGCAACAATTGGTGGCAATTGTGTCTTGATACGTGTACGTTACCATGCAGTAAGTGATTCGATACATTTTTACGTTCCGTTTATATTACCTTAGAAGGCTCATTATTATTATTCATAATATTATCCTTTTTTATATCTTACTGTTATATGTGCCTCAGATCTAACAACGAATTACGAAGCATTCTATAAATGAGAAGTTGCATCAAATAAACACTAATCACTTACAGAGTATGTTTTTTTTCAGTACTAGGTCCTCATTAAATGACCGTTTATATATATAATAACTTTGTTTACTGTTCTTGTTTAGAGGTTTGGAGACCACAAAAAATAGGAAACAGTGCTTATGCTTGCAGATCCTGCACTTGATGCTACGTTCCAGGCATAGCAGCTAACTTGTGTTTGCCACGCGCTGGTCGATGGTCAGCCTTCTGATGACTTGTGCTAAGAACGTTAGCGCTGTACTATGTTTTTATTGTATTCATTTTGGCTTTGTTTTGTAGTAGCATACGGTATCATGCCGTTTCTCAGAAGGTTAGCACCCACTCGCATAATGTCTCGCGACATAGCTTTTGAGATCCGAATGTCTTCAGATGTCACCAAGATAGTCCAAAGTTTTCCACGAATCGAACTAGGGAGTTTACAAGCTTGTCGTGCTTCAACGCATCTTAGCTATCTCAGTGCACTAACGTATAGATCGTTTTCCCTTTTTTCGTTACCATAACCCGTAGATATTCAGGACAACAACGTTCCAAGTTCCATCTCAAGAGCGGTGGCGTTTACCGAGAAGAAGCGTGAGAACCTGATTCGTTCGGCATGCTTAGGGTTAATTTACTGGTAGATCAGCCGAATATTTTTCCAGTATCACCATACGCAAAATCTCGATAACATCTTTTATTTTGTCTATGGAGAGCAGATGTGAAGTTGGTTCCATCACTCTGAAGCGCACAAGGCTAGTTTCAATACCTATGACAGGTGGTAAAATTTTATCTACGTTAGAAAATCTTACAAGCGTAGCTTTTCTAAGCTATATACAACTTTCGGTAAGGTCCTGCTATACACAGCATGCCTTTATAACATAGCTAACAAAATATTTCCTACTGTATATGTGAGAACTTAGCGAGCTCATCTCATTCATAGAAGGTCATATTAGACTTTCGTTAGAACTGTCAATTTTTCGAAACGCTGCAGAGTTCATCGTTCGCTTCAGAAACTGTTTATTACCTATACATGTGAATTAGATCACTCATTACGTTAAGAATAAATAAGCAGAACATTTAGTTCAAAAAGGTAAAGTTTTTTTTTATGTAGTAGTATATGCTTATATGATAAGTAGTAAAGATACTACAACAATTAGTATATTAAAAGGCATTCTAATACTAGTATTATTTAAACGTTGACTCGTTACCTGAGTAGACCATGAACAACAGGACTGACCGCCTGTTAATGTATAGAAAAGAGAAGGAGAAATATGGGAGATACTGGGCCAACAGAACTGATCTGTAGATAAACTGCGTGGTACGGGTTGACACGCTAGATCCAGAGAAATCCATTAAGATGTCACAGACGAATGTGGCGCACCTTCTGACTGAATAGCTCTTAAACTTGCTGGGCAAGACGGGTAACCTTTTAATGTGTGTTAGAGGTACCTAGCTTTATTTTTTACACGTTTGTGCCAGTGTTCTAAACAGCCTACAATTCGCGTTTCGATATGTCAATTTTCTGTTTATACTTTCTCAACCCAGGAAGTAATTGAAACGTAGAAATAAGGTCTGGCGTTGTCGTCAAGTTACCGGGCTGCGTATCTTCGATTGCGTGCCAACGGTCCGTGAGTGTCTTCATGAACTTGAAATATATTCATTGCTTTATTTTCAACAGACGCTTCTGATATCGATCGCAGGTACTTACGTCACGTTACATTTGAATCTACCCGGCATTGCCACCGATCTTAGTTTTTTCAAGGGGACGCCATTTTCTCACCTGATTTCTCATCGGCCGCTAGTCGCGTTTGAATATGCCTCGTCTATGGGGACCGTATGCGCAAGGTGGATTCTTTTGTCGATTAAGGTTCCACAAATTACACATGAAATACACTACGCGCCTAAAATATATTCACGGAGGAGCAATTAGTAAATGAGTTATATTTCTGTAATACGTTCCATGTCAGCTTATCGGTTCGGCCGAAAAATTCTTAGACGTAGAGCTCTGCTTTCGTATAGAGCCTTTTCGATTGCAGCAATACATTCCTGTCCCTCGGATCTCGACATCTGGTCACCTCTTTGCTGGCTTTCAACACTTTAATCTTCGTCGTTGAAATGTCTGCACCATTCACAAACTGCGCTTCCACCTAAGGACTCCCAGTCAAATGTCTTCATTAATTCTCGATGAATTTCCGCAGCTCTTTGGTCTTCGAGGAGCAAACACTTAAATACCAAACATTGGCTCTTGGAGCTGATAAATGATTTTTCTCTACGAATTCGTTTCTTCTGAAGTAAGCTCGACCGGTTTTCACTTACTAGATCTTAGGAAAACTGAGTAATTGAATTTCACCTGCTAGCGGTTCAAGAGGTATTCAGTTTCAGAGCCCGTTAGATTCGATTGCCTTCGATATATAGGATGTGTGAATAAAGATGTTATAAAAATACCTATATTATCTTACACTCACAAATACTATGGCAAAGGAATGCTTTCAGTTGTGCAAAGTATTGCTATTGGCGGATAGATGCAGAAATGGATTTACAGTAAAATGTTTACGCTAAATACAAAAAGTTCGAATTTTTTCTTTTTGTGTTGAATTACATATCGGAACCTGTTCCGCAGAACATGGCAAAACTCGCTTGCTAAATTCTTATTACTTAGAGGCTCAGTTTTGACTATGTTTGCAAAGAAGATCTCACGCGGCCCAGAACTAACCTTTTCGTCAGGTCGTAATATGATTTTTGCTTATTAAATGGCGTCTTTCGTATGAAATATTGTCAGACGAACACATTCATGATATGGTTTGCTGATTCTATTTCAGTCAGTTTCGTGTATATTTCTACTGGATTTGTAGCTTCTATCTTTGGCATGGCCGTTGGCAATTAATCTACGAATGAAACAAGTGTATGAGTGAGGGCGGACACATCTAACAAAAATAAAAACAAACATACATAGCTGAATATGAACATTAGATCATTTTATTATTTTTACTTTAATAAACATTACACTGATACACATGCTATAATTCAATAATATTAATTTGTTGTTGTTTTTACGTAGTTCTCGATCGTGACTAGCTATAGATGGAGCTTTCAGTCTGCAGTCTTCGCACTGCGTCACTCTTAGATAGATAAGCATGATAAAATATGATGTGCTCTGTATATACAATTGTCGAGAAGATGGTGCGGTTTCAGCAGCTTATGAAACACTTATTAGAATCAACAAGAAAAAAAAAAGAAAATAAGAAAACGTTTTAAAAATGTTTCGGACAAAGTTGATAAGGTGCATATCGCTGAATTCAGTAGTTTGCGTTATCGGTGTACTGGTATTCGCCCGCCCTATCGGCTACCGTGTCCTTCATAGAATGGGTCTCGCCAACCATTTTCGTGTTCTAGAATTAATCTCCGTGGCTAAAAAAGCGGGAAAAAATCGCGATCATAAAAAATTAAGGAACAGTGTTTTTGTTTGGATCTTGTTATGCTCCATAACGCGGGCTATTTTAGCTACAGTTCATAGTAGTGTAATTTGCATTATTGCATTGTTGCATTATAATTATCTTATGTAAAAATACGAAAATCAATCAGCAGGAGAAGTCACTATATACGTAACGTTAAACATAGTTATCATATTCTGCTTCTGTTTTGAATTTTTTGGCTTAAGTGCTTGTATAGGTTTATAACGTTGTATTACAGCGGACGTATACGACTAATAGCTGAGGGTGAACCGCGCCTCTAGTGAAATCTTACACATTTTTCTAAACTCTGTTTCTCGAAGCCTTTATCTAGTTTCAAAGATACCTTCATCTATTCATGGATTATTAGGTAAAAATACTATTTTTTGTTGCTTTGGTGTCAGTGTACATTGTTGTTGGGTTATCTGCGCAAGCTCTTGCTTTTCCTTGTTCAATTAAGACGACAAAATGTCTAATCACTACTACTACTAATTGAAATCAATCGTAGTGAAAAAAAATTCGCCATGTCCTGATACTATAATAGCCCACCCTTGACTCATTGTCGATAGAGAGCTCTAGGCAAAATTAGGAAGGCTCGAAAATTCGATTTCATCAAAACAATGTACGGTGACAGCACATATCAACCAACTGGTTGTGAGCCTCTAATTGCTTAAAATATGCCTCACAAGGTTTTTTCGTTTCGCTGAAAATCCTTCGACTATATATAAGTAAGTACGCCAATGCCGTCCTTTGTATTTCGCAATAATCTCCAACCTACGATAGTGTAGCACGAATGCAATTTTTTTCAACGAAAACACTTTTTCCGTTTTGACCTAATAGGGTTAGTAACCGACAACTCAGAACATTGGCGGACTTTTTCCTTTGCCGTTCGAATTGATTTGGCCCCGGCCACTACGTGCATCGGTAATCGCTCCCCAAAGGTCGAGCATAAAGTCTTGCGTGAAACCGAAAGCAGCGAGATCCGATTGTTCCAACGCTTCGATGAATTGATGCGGGTTTTGGCCGGACGCGACAGCTAGCTCCCAGATCTGTGTCGCCAATTCTGCGTCCGAGATACCCATAAATGAATCGAGGCATGCGTTCAACTTATCGATCGCCAACTGCATCACATCATCCGGCTGTGGTCATGGGTATCAGTAAACAAAAAAAGAAGATATTATGTTACAGATGGCCTGCCCAAATACTATCCTCAATCCTGGTTTGACTATCATCCTGGCTATTCTTGAAGATTTTTTTCAATTGACGGGTGAGTTCCAAGTGTTAAGTTTTGTATCTTAAATCACTCCGGATAGAAAACCGTGAAGTATGATTTCATTCAATAGAGGGGGGGGGGGGGGCACTCAAAAGAAGCCTACAGCATTTTGTAAGTTTTGCTACCTTTATAAGTAGCAGTAGTCTATCTGCCCTGTTCAGTTCAATGTCACACAAGCTGATCGTGACTTTAAATCGTGATTAAAATCGTTCGAACTTCGTGTCAATAATTATTTCAAATTCTTAGCCAGGAAAAATAAAAACCATACTAAGTTAACTTGTTTCCGTTAAGGCTCAGATAGTTAAGGGATGAATGTAAGCTTCAGTGATAAGGTGTTACCTTTAATTGCTAAGGCCGTCTCATTCAGTTACATGAAAGCATCAGGTCAACGGGAGCGTTCAATGTAGTGTAATAAAAAATCGCGAGTCAAATAATTCCACTTCTACGGCACTTAATTTACCGCACACTCTACCAAACCGTGGAGTTTCTATGTCTTTCTTAAGAACTACAAGTTTAAATCGTCCACCTGACGTAGGTATACGATCCGGCGACACTCGTTCAATGAAACATCTCCTGGCCAAGCTACAAAGTGAACGGCGCTCAGATGTGGCATGTCGACAGAAACACCATCGTTTGTGTCTCTTTTTCCCGATGCAGAGAACGCAAACGTATGTGTACACACCACAATAACAAGCTCGTAATGAGAAATCCACTTACGGCATCTTGGAGACTCGCCGGACCTTTTGACCGGAGGCGAAGCGTCTCCTTTCCCGATCCGTAGCCCTGGGATTTTTTCAGGGAACTACTGTTCCGTGGGCCGATGTTTGCTATTCGTAACGATAAATAAGAGGTAGAGAGATTAGTAAAGGTACAAGAAAGACGTATACACGCATATCCACACAAAATATAAGTCAACTGGAAGAAAATTAATCGTCCTTAGAATAATATTTGAAATGTATCAAGAGCCATAATAATAATAACAATGCTGCAAAAATATCCATGATCATATGGGTACATGGTGCGAACTAGCTCTGTCACTGCTTCTATTGCTTTTTGCTATTTTGGACCCGTCATTTGTGCTTATGTCTCATATGATGATATGCCTCATGATTTCGGGTGATCAGCAGTTTATAAAATGTAATGTTGTTTGTTTATTCATCATCTGCTGTTTTAATTGTTTATTCAAATTGGTTAATATAATAACAGGCATTGCTTGTTATCATCTTGCCCTTCAAACGTGCATAATGGATATGATATGTATAGGGAGATGACGCTGGCAGACAGCTCAATTAAGAAAGGGCCAGACGTTAAACTAAGCACATTTCCAACAAAACTAGCAATGATAACATAATAATAATAATCGTACGTGTAACAGGACAAATAAGACATTCGGGTACGTCAAGATTTCTGACATACAATGGCCGGCAGTTCAGGCTCTTTCAAAATGCCAGTCACGCGGATAACTAAAAATAACTACTTATCAAAAATTTAGCCCGTCTATGTAACATGCAGATCTAATGTTTGGTTGTTAGCGGTGTGTAGGTGTCGACATCTTGTAAATAAAAAACTTGCGATCCGCCTAATGGAGAGGGAACTTCGAATAGGGGATGGTGGACGACGGACGAAAATAGTAAGACGAACACTAGAAGCGTATTGCGCTACATTTGACCTTGGTTCGCCGACCAAGATAAGTTGAAGTAAAGATGATCATCTGAGTGAAGCTGGAAGAAATATTATAGCCCGATGCTAGGGGTGCTGTCTTAATGTTTGTAATCGTCTGCTTATAGTGAGAATCATACGCGCTATTCACAGACGTTGACATTAAATATGCGCCTATATTGGCAGCCTATCAATAAACGTTGGATAACGATCTTGTTCTATCGGCTTGGTTTTTATTCTTGTTACTGTTGCTGTTGTAGCTGCCAAGTCGAACATAGAGAGACCGCCATTTTAGCGTATTTTGTTTCAATAGAAAAGCATTCTGGCCGTATTTCAACATGAGCAGAAGCAAGTTCGAAGACTTTTTCGACAACTCCTTCAATCCTATACTGTGAAACTGTAGGCATTGCGTAATAGAAAAGCTGTTGAAATGAAAGCTTTGCCTTCGTTGGATCTCTGTTTCTTTGTCCTCTGTCGCAATTCCTTATTGTTTTGGAAATAGGCATAGACAATTTAGCCCGGGAAGGAAAGCGAAACCAAACTTGGATTGGCATAAGCGATTACGTTTGTATAGCTTTCTGATGGGAACATGTTCCTAGACACAAAGCATAATCAGCGCGTTCTTCTAAATTCACTATAGTGATGAAAGTGTTATACATTTGTGATGCCGAAGGCTTAAAATCGACAAAAGCGTTTCTCAAAAAATCTATTTTTCGATAGTAGTTTTTCTAAGGTTTCTATATGCTCTTCTTGTATATTCGAATTTACACACCAAATCCAGCCTTAAGAGGTTCAACTAGCCTCATCACGAACGTCTCTCCTTTGGGGATGTCCTTGAGCGCCTTGGCCACCTCGAAATGGCGACAGCTTACCATTGAGTTACTGTTAATACGCTCAATGTGGTCTCCAACCTACAACCAAGAGATAAGTCGAAAATTTAGTTACTATCTATCTGAAACAACATTTATTTACAACAACACAACGTTCTTAAAACGTAGCAACTAGGCACGTTTGGCTTAATCCGAGCCCTTTCTCAATATTTTAGTAGGCCATCATGATGCTTTGTCAAACACTTACGCGAGCAATGGCAAAGAACCTGATACATCCACGATTTAAAAAGTTACAACCTTTTCAGTATACTCTGAATTCTGCAATAAATGTTAACTTCTGTGGCTAGCCATGCTTTCTGATGTGTCGGCGAAACTCTCAAGTTTCGTTTTTTATCATTCATTTTAAGTACCTCTAACTGTATTCGTTGACCCACACTGTCAACCCTGTCAACTTATCGCATGCCCATCGCAGACATCTCTATTCCTTTCAAATGTGGCGAAAGAACATACGGGACGAAAACGAGACTTAGAAATGTTTTCTAAACGACAATGCTAAGCCATTCAATTAATAGAAATGCATAACGTTTCTACTTGCGATCTGTATCAATTCCGATCGTGCCCAATATCATTCCGTATGTATCCGTCTTTACTTAAAAATCATAAATGGTATTTTTCTCAGCCGAACCCTATCTTTTCAGCCCTGTAGATTATCGGCTTAGCTGATCCATTCCGATGGATTATCACTGTTATCCCGAAGTGGCTTGCTCCCGCTCTACCATGCAGCACTCCGTCCCACTGCTTATCTCTCACAGTCGGTGGCTTCTTCCGAATTTTCATGTTCAGCTTTATCTAGTTGTTATCCTTTCGCCTTGTTCTGCTGCCAGCTGGAGTCGGCAACATCAGTTTGAACGGCAGCATCGTATTCCATTGTTCGTTTTCATGTGTACTTTGTTAGTTCGTGCGTCTGAGTCTTTCGGCGGTTGCTTCAGCGATGAGAGTTAGCGGCAACTGAACTAAGGCCGTAGCTATGTTTAGAACGTCCATTGCCATAGCCGTTGTGTGTTTTGCCATTGTTAAGTTTGCCTTGGCTTCGGAACATCTCCGCCTCGCGCGGTCACCGAATTTGGCGGGGTCCCGTTTGAGTTACAGGATCTGACGGCGCTCCGCTCAGCTGTTACTATTCTGGCACCGCCATGACAGCGGGGAGTAATGCAACTTGCTTGTCTACCAGCTCTACCACTTAACGTGCGCTAAACGATAGTGCCCGATAAGAAGCTTTAGACTCGAGTCTTTATCTAATTGTGCAACAGGGACCGTTTCTGATGCTGATGAGACCGCGTTTGTTGTTGTTGTTCCTGATCGCGATCATAATACCGTTGTATGAAGATAATGCCAAGCAAAGGCTTGAACATATGAAAGATACTGTCGCAATTCCGCCGACAACAGCTGGCTGACAGGGAAAAGGCTACGTTGATGGTTTTGCTGTTTCCGGCTGGCAACGACGTCAACGAGGTTCGTGCCACATCAGCACAGCTCAAAATTGCACCAAAGGGGATCGAATAGTAATAAAGTCGACAAGGCCAAAATAGTGCACCTCATATTGTATAACAATAAACAATAGCGAAAAGCGATATGACGCTTCGACGGCGGCAGTAAGCGCTGGAACAAGGAGAACATGCAACAATCGAACGATTCAAAAAGAACGGTAATAGGCATTATAATTACAACAGAGATAGCAACACACTAGCGGTGGTAATGATTGTGATAACAGCACAACAGACTATGGTGATGCCTATTTGAATATAGCCACTACTATAATGTATACCACATAGTATATGCCCACGGGGCAATGCGATCCCTTCGATGCAGTCCAATCCAAACCGCCAACGCTATAGGATCGCGTCGGGCTGCTGATAGACAAACTGCTTTTCGGATCTGCGTGCATCATCTGAACAGAACACCGTGGGAGTCGATAATTGCCACGGATATAAATATTCAAATAGATCATTAATGATAATAATAAATGTGGCCGCCTGAAAACCGCTGCGATAAGAAACAAAGCGAGAGCGGCTATAGCGTGTATGCAAAGGTCAGGCTTAACCTAAAAAAGATCGAGGCTCCATAAAATCCTGCGTATGAGTGTATTCTGGAACGCTTAATATTGACGGTTCAAACAAAAGGCCCTTGTTTCTAACGGCTAGCAGCAATGCCAAAGATTAGTGCAGCGTTTGGGAATAGACCCAATTTAGGTCGCAAATGGTAAATGGTAAAATACTAGTGGTAAATAGAAAACCCTGTTTCGGTTCTTGGCAATACAGTAGTTAGCCCTCTTATTCGATGACTGGGTATCGTTCAGTCATATACAAATGAACAGATGAAAACGGTACAGGATATTAGTGAGTATTTACTAATATAGTATTCTTTCTATTCATTGAGCTATACTGTGCCATGATACATCAGTCCAATTTCACTTTAATCGCGTCCTTATTTTGATTTTGATTAGAAAACATAATTATATAATGCATACGTAGATATGCATATCGATTTATTCATGCTATAAATAGATTAAACTCAGATCTAAATGTACTAAATCGAATATCTGGTCAAACTAATAATGGTCTTAAGTCATTCATCCTGGTTCCTGCTTTTTTATTATTACTATGCCGAACCACATGTGTCAGATTTTTTGACAAAATGTTAGCAAAGCAGTTGGCCAACAATGCGCGAAACTTCCTATCAGTTTTTCGAAATTATGATGGTGCTGTAAAGGCATACGGTCTAGTTTTCTGTGTCAATGCCTAGTCGATCCGGAGAACTGCCAAGAAAGGCTTCGTTGAAATCAGTTATTGAAGTTGGTCACTGGTATGGGAGAATAGCACGACCGAAATTAACGATCGTGGAATTCAGCCATCAAAAGTTGCCTGTTCAAAGGCAGTACGACTGGTTGGCATTTTTTGAAAGCGGTAACTGTACCGCTTCCGTATTTATCTATTCCCCCCCCCCCCCCCGTTTTGAAAATACAAGCCTAAACTTTTATTATTTGAAATCTACTGACGAGACGAATCGATTACCAAAAGAGTCGAAACGCCGAAAGCGACGTACTCATCGTTCGACAACTGTTACGACAACAAATGTCGTGGGTTTTGGAGATGGCGCTATAATCACTACACAGCATTCAGTATTTTCCCAGATAAGAGATATCTACTTTCTCTTGTTTTGGCTATCTTCATCGTCAACTCATTAAGCAACTTCCGCTCAAGAGCTATGTGTCATAATATCAGTAATTCGTAGACTAGAAAAATCATGAAGTGCAGTTGCTGCCATCCCGTGTAACTAAAGTAAGTAAAAAAAAGCGATTGCTAACAATTACAGCGGGTATCAATCATCTGGCCTCCTCAGGTTGAATCAGCTCCTCAGCGCTCAATCACCGACTATTGTCTGCTATATTTGTTATTTAACTAACGTCGTTATTTAGTTACGTTCCTCGAACGGTTTCATTTGCTCGTTATTATTACGTCTTTGCTTATCTTACTTTCTTGGTGTTCTGCTAACATATTGGTATATGCATAATAATGTTCTACACGGATGGCACAAACGTGACGTCAAGCTATTGTCACTTCGGATGCTAGGCCCTACGTGTTTTCCCGCAGCATTGACGCTGATTGGTCATCTCTGAAAATGGTCCTCGTGGATCTAACCTGCAATCGTGGAACTTGCAGCGTTGGCCGGAGCGGGCGTCAACAGCGAAAAGCGCTACGATCATGAGCGAATCAACATCAACGTGTCTTTCACCGACGTAGAGGACATCACAGTCGAAACGGACTGTATAAAGGGAAAATTTTAAAATTGAATTTCGGCGCTATGGCGGCGACGTCCGCGCCACGGCTTTAGCGCTTGGTGGGTTATGTAAATGGTCTTTTCGCTATGTTTCATTTGTTGGAGTTAGGTACAAGGAAATAAGATGATCGACGAAAACCTGTTCACCACCGAAAGCTTTATATTATCCATTCACTCAGGCCGCCCCATTTTCAATGATATCTGGCAAAATCCGTTTGTTGCTGTCATAGTGGTCATCAGCTATATAATAGTTAATTGTATTAACATAAACTGTTTTGGATTTCTACCTCGTAGTCAATGGTGGACATGATGAACAATGAATCTGCCAGTCTGTCCCTGAAATTATAACTCCTTTTCTTTTTCAAGCCTCCAAATTAGCTAAGCAGAGCATCGTCATTTGTGCGTAGCATGATATTGATTCGGTCATTAGCCGACAGCTCACCATCTGCATTAGTGCTTTAGCCATTACTATAGATAACAGTTCCAGGAAAATAAGCAGAAACAAGAAACTTAAGAATGGTCTGAAAGTATAATATCTATATAAAAGTTTATTGCACAGAGATAATTAACCTATTCAAGCTATCAAGCAATAACAAAATACTGTATTTTAACATGCTCATATACCGTTGTTTTATTCGTAATAACAATTTACCTGTATAAAGCCAATCTTGTCCATAAGGGATCCCTCCTTAATGCGTTTGATGAACGCGAAGCCCGCCCCATTGTCGGTAATGGTAAGGCCCAAGGAGTCATCCTGTTTGTGTACTTCAACTTCTTTAACCTGCCCACGGCGATGAACAAATATGAAGTCTTCGAGGCCGATCTGACCTCCTAGCAGTTTCGACATATCCACTTTGTGCGTGTTTAGAGTACAGAATAGTATCTGAAAAGTAAGCATAGAAAAATCGTTAATAATATGAATGTATTATTGATTTCAGCGCGAAACACTTATTTAAGTAGAGGGGCTAACATGATAGATCGGAACGATGTACGGTAGTAGCTTTACATTCATTATATACTATTACATTAACCATGTACATATATCTGATAAGATTTTGATAAACTGGTTCCTCAGCCTCGTATGAGAGCATGTGTCGACTTGACATGAAATAGACTTGACAAGCGAGCTTTTTCGACAAGGGTCTCAATGGGTAGGTACAACAGACTAGATATTCATGTCATGATACATTATATTTTTCTTTAAATTCAGAATAGTTATTCTATTGCTAACATTTTGTAATATCAGGCTCACTAGGTAGGAAACTCCTATCTCGCATGTCGACAACAAACTATAGACGATAAAGTATAAGCATACATAATCAAAATAAAATACTTCGTCATATGCCTAACACAGTACGAGTCCACCTATTTCGCAGCAGATGTTCAATCAGATGAAGTATAATGGAAGATCCATAGTATACAAATTCAGTTCAGCAAACAGGGGCACTACTGCCCAGATATAATACATTGAGCTAATACATTGAGTTCATACGTGACTTATGATAGTCAGATAAATCTTGATACACTAGTTGTATAGACGCAGACGTCACTGAGAAAAGTGGATTCAATTCATCGCTTTAACAGCATTCAAAAGAAGAATCAACTGGCGAACTCTTCCTCCATTGAGCGAAGCTTTTGGTAACGGAGGATTCGTTCATTAATGACTAGCAAAAACAGAGAAAAGGCTGTAACACAGAGACTATTCTGATGAAGAAATCGTATATATGACTCGCGTGCACGTTCTGCGAAAAGCGGGGTTACAGATCTCTCACAAGTCCTCAGCTTGCACTCGCTTCTGACTAATTCTAGCAGCAATCCATTACAACAGCTTTACGTACTACCATCGTAAATTATCCATGTCATCGCAGAGAATGACTTAATTTATTCTGGCTCACTCCTAATACGACAAAGGTATCATTACATATATATAGACACGTATACACTCAGATCTGATCAGGCTTCCTTGCTCACGTAGTTATAAGACTGCGTTAATTTTGCTTCATGTCCAGAGAACATTACTAAACGGAACTGTGAACATGTGTTGATTTCAGGAGTATAATTAAAGACCCACATCAATCAGCACGTCGAAGTAAACTAAAGAGCAATAGTAAATATACGTTTTAGGCGTACCATAGATGTATCGAGAAATGTATTACGATATGTTCAGTATCAAAATTTCGATCTAAAGAGCATGTCTGATCTAAGGACGCTTCTTGTACCCGAGAACAGACGAGGACATCGCAGCAAAAAAGGAGAACTTGTGGGTAATAGTTGGTGCGGGTGGTAAATAGTGGGGGCGGAACGTCAACTATTAAATTGCAGGACCTAACCCGTTCTGGGAAGAAGGAATTCACAGAAAAGACAGTGTTGGCGATGACGTGGTGAGACCTATTTCGTCTCATTAAGGTTAGGTCGCCCTGTCAGTCGAGTTATCCAATTAGACAATTCTCTCTCTGTCCTAAGCTGTTCTTATAGTGTGATGCCCACGGGTCCGATTGGCAATGAGCTCTCTGAGATCGTCAAGTGATAATATACGAAGAAGCGATCTTGACTTTAGCTCAAAGGTAACATCAAGCGGATAGACATAACAGGACGCTTGAGGAGCTGTTCCTATCATAACACTTTCTGATTCTATGGCTCAGCTAAATTGGGATCGCTACATTTGAAGTAGATTATTCTTCAAGACACACAAATCCTTAACAAATCAGAATCATTCGCGTCACGGTAGAACGGTGTACGGAAAGTTGCGTTTTGGCGCGGCGTTTGCTGCAAACTAACTTGCTACTGTTGCCAAAAAGCAAGTACAATATAATTTTTTCCCCTATAACAAGCACGACAGATATTTCTTTTTCTCTCGGTGTTATAATCCTACTGTTCTTCTTAGACATTTATTTATACTATATTGATTCACACAAATAGAGCATTGACTATAGCCAGATGTGGATTAGCTTTGCTTTAGTTCAATTTTGACCACGGCTATAAAAAGTAGCCTGCTGTCTGATTTTAGCATTCGTTTAGAATAGTGTCTCAGCTCACGATCAGACTATTGGAAGCAGGTCGTGCCGAACCCGCGGGCTATAACGTGTACTCGTTATCAACGACGCCATGTTGATTTCGTTTGTCACGATTCGACTACCCGCAAAAGCAGCGGTTCGTATCCTTCTCACATAATACATATTCAGGCCATGAACTGCTGTTATTGTCTGCCTCGCTGTCTGATCGAACATATTTCCCATATCGACACACGTGGCCAAACAAAACAAAAACTCATAACAGATACCCATGACAGACGTTAGCTAGCTAGATCCGGACGCGCTTTTCGCCGGTCGTATGAAAGAACGCAGTGGAGGGAAGGAAGTCAATTGCTTTTTCAATTGTTGTTGCCTGACAAAGGAAACGGACGCCGATCGGGCGGCGACAGTAGCGGTACTAACGACAGTAAAAACTACAGGAGCTTGCTAACTACGTGGAATTGAAAATAGAAAAAAAAAACAACTCTCGGATTGTGCCGTGGTTTGATACCGTTACCTAATGCATCCCTATGTATTCATCCGAGATTATTTGGGCCTGGTGTTTTTTACCGTATTAACGGTGGGCTGAGTGGAGTTAGTTGGACGACTGGCAGCGTATAGAGATAAAGAGGAACTGAGAGATAACGTGCTAAATTGGTATTTCTGCAAGATACGTGCAACAATCCAGTCTATCTGGGAGCAAATTGTTGTTTTGACCCACGTGCCCGTATATATATTGAGTATTATTATACTTTTAATATGAAAGATGATATTCGCATAACAATAATTAAAGATGCAGGATAAAACCAGCTGATTCTACAATATTTCTCGACGATCAGTAGAGACGAACGTTAATTAGACGAATAAAACTCCGTTTGAAGGGGAAAAAACGGAAATAGCGATGACAATATCTATATATACACCACTGTTTCAACAGACAGAGGTTAAATTAAGGTCCCCACTATTCTAGCATCGAATCCGATTCAAGCATATGTACGGCATGCCTAACGGCGACGGATCATCAAGCTGACTCGGCACGTTGAATATTTTTGCACTTTCTTAACAAATGCATCCCACGTGATAAGCACGGCGAGTTAAATCCGTGGACATTGTAGTTTATCGTTCTTTGTTTGTTGACCAATTTAGCTTAAAAACGCAGTGTATTCCAATGACGATTCCGGAGGGCCCCCTGCTGTGAGTCGTTCGCTAGGTGATCCTATTATTTATTACATGACCCGAGTGTCATCTGTCTCCGCCCTCTATTGTGACCCAGCTGCTAATGACGGTGATTTTGCTCCTGTAGCGGACGTCATTACACCGTTGGCTCGATAGCGTTGCGAAGTCAACAGGTATAACAATACGGCCAGTATAAGCAGTCCACCAGGAGCATCACTGAAGCCATGTGACCACATCATCGGGTAGGCACAGCGATGTGGTAACATGCTTGCACACCGACAAGCACATGAATGCATGGCCAACCCTAAACATCGACAACAGATATACAAATCCAGACTCACTGCCTTCAACTTCGCATATCTGCGTGCGTGCGCGCGTTCCACATCCAGGTGGTTAATCCATGTTTAACACCATGAATACCCGTCAAGGCAGCTAGTCAGTTGCCCAAACTAATCTACAATGAGTGGCGTTATTGCACAGTCGAATTGGCATTAAGATGTTGCTAACAGCTACTATTCAGTCATCGTTCTAGGTAGACGACGCTCGATAATGGTTGATACACCGAAATAGCATTTCGCAGAAATGAAGGGAGAGAACGCGCTTTTGCAGTCGAGTGCTTGGCTTTAGTTGAAGCAGCAGCAGCAGCAAGAATCGCGTCAGAGGTGGTAGCGCCGGCGACGGTGCCAACGCTCCGTTTTTGTGGGAATGTCCCTCGGTCGTTTAGTTTATCTATCATTCTGTCTATACGCCCGCTTGCGCGCTGTCGTAGTTGTATTGCGGAAAACCAGTGGCGGTCGGCCACTTCTTCCATAACAGCAGCCGTAATTTGACCACAAGTAGGCTATGGACGCCGCGACCATTGCCACTGCTGTGGTAAATGGTTACGCTAGGTGTAAGAAGAGCTGATTTATTTCCTCATCAATCTGGAGCAGACGGAATGCAGTGATGTGCGGAGTGATACAACGGAGATTGTCGTCTAACGCATTGGCAGTTCTAATATTATCAGTAACATGAATGGCTGCATGTTTTTCTAATTTCTGCTACTTCGACATCTGGTCAGACATTAGCGTCACCGGCACTGCCGCTCCAGTGCTCTCATCGGAAAGCTTCCGTTGCCATAGCCGCCATTGATGATCCCGACCGGATCTTACATTTTGCTGGGAAGTCAACGCCATAGAGTAGAGGACATCAACAACATAAGCGGAACAAGTATTGCCGTTGTTGCGGCAGACAATTGTTGATGATCATCAACATTTGATCAGTTGACTAGCAAACGAGTTTGGGGTCCAGCTTTTTTTCCAGCTCCAGGATCATCACTTACGGCGCATATCAAGGGGCGTCAAAACGGCTATCATTGATCCCTATTTGATGTGTGCCACAGTGTGGCCAGTGAGGATGAGCACGGATTAAAATTTCTATGAAATTCACTTGATGCGCTTCAATCAACGTCGTATCGAAGGACATATCGAAGGATTTTACGACGATTTTGGCGATTCTAGTGCAAACTAGATGTTACAAAACATCACTTGTCGTGTAGTATACACGTTCCAGCCCTTTCTGTGCAAGTAAACAACGCTGGAAATTCCTGCTTGAATAATGCGGAGCATCCATTGGGAGTACAGACGTCGGAGGAGTGGGAGGTCAATAGACGATGCTAAACTCGATGTACCGCACTGCTGCTGTTTCGGCCATCACTAGGGTGATGCGATGTCCATTCGGACGGGAACTGAAGTGAATAAAAAAAGCTGACATTGTAAACTTACAATAAGCAACAACAAGCAAATGCCGATGAAAGAAGTAAGTGGCGGGCAACGTTTTGCAGGTTCTCGTCAGCGAGTGCATCTTTACTAGCGTAGTATGCATTCGACTGACGATCATAGTAAAGACGGTCGCCAAGCTACATATAACATAATCCCCATTACAACCATTTCATTGTTTCATCATACGTATAATACATTTTTGTATACATCATACTCAGATATACCGTTTCATAGATATTCTCTCATTTCAATTTTTTTTTTTTGAAAATGTTCTATTAAACATACGTAGCGTTGAATAAACCATAGACCGGCTAATTATTGTTGAGTCGTTCTACCGCTGCATTGAGTTGCTCTTGCCGCGGCATTCACACTAATTCTAAGATATCTTCATATGTTACCTTAGGTGTTGCTGACACCTTATGACCTTAGATGACCGGCCGCGCACGAGTTCGTCCTGGCTCGTGCAGCAGTTTTTTGATGACTGAGTAAAAAGTGTAACGCGCTCTATCGCTTAGAGTTTCGGGATTTTGAATTCGTCTGACTTCGTGTTATACAGCCAAGCATTCGTCGATCGTTCTGGTAGTTGAGTTATTAATATGAAGAATCTGAAAAGTGTTACCTGCGTCCCCTACGAAAGTTGACAGAGACATACATGTAATACCAAACCTATTCAGGATGATCTAATGGATACAATTACTTACAGTTCAATATAAATTCACTACAGTATCTACGATCCATTTAGGCCTCTTCATCATATAAATAATAGATATGTTGATTAATCGTTAATTGATGTTCTTCGAATTAAAAAAATGGCGGTACTTTGATCTTCCGTTGTACCTTTCTTTTCGCATAATGTTAGACCTTAAAGTGAGCAATTACGAAGCTTCGACTAGAGCGTACTTCATAAAGAATTAATTGTATGTTCGTTAACACTGAATGGGCCAGTATTCACGGCACACAGCAATGCGGTCTAACATATACGGTTCAATTCGGCCCAACGTTATTGTTGAACCTTCAAACTTCGACCTGCACATTATTCAGTGCAGCGCATCTATTCTCGATTCGTTTGTATGACACTTTGTCTTTATTTTGTCAGTGTGTTTATTTATATCTTTGTGTGTTTGTAGTCCATTTCGTTAATTCAGTACCAAAGAATCCAGCAACGCCATAATAGGCAAAGCGCACAGTACATATATATATATATATTACTTTGAAAAATTTGAGAGAATGTCACTTTTACTGAGGGAGTTCAATCTGTAATTAGCGTTATCCCCATCGGTTGACACCCATGCTCATTCTTTGGATTCCCTTAACAAAGCATTCAGACGCTGAATATAAGATGATTTGTATACACACGTAAACCTTTTAGAAGAATTACATGGCAAGCAAAATAGCAACGAAGCAAACGAAATAGAATTCAGAAATGCTTAATAAGACTTCACAGTTTAATTAGAACAGGGCCTGATAGCAACTGACGATGGATACGAAAATGGATACATCTGATACTGTGTGATAGGGTAGACTTCTTGTATATAAATAATAAAAAACACTGAAATTATTCCAAAAAAAGCAAATCGTTTTTGCTTGGCGTTTCTTGGTGAAGAAAGAGACCTATCTAAACACGATAGAGTTGGCGGAATATTCAGCCCACAAATGTCCTGATTCTCATCCGGATTATGAATAGCTGCAACGAAAGACGATTTTAAACAAATTTTAAGCAGTACTGAATCATGGAATGGAACCTAACTGTTTAACATCACAAAGAAATACCCTGTCGACGGCATTACACCATTCTTCGTTTTCGACCTCAGATCAAAAAATACTACGTTTCATCGAAACAGTACCAACGAAAGGGAGGCGTGAGCTGATCTCTATCCATTCGTGCGTTGATCCGTGCGGAAATAAGTACCTATTTCACTATTTAGGGCAGAGCTTTTGCAATTAGATGTATTGCGTTTGCTGTTCAGACACCTAAATCGTTGGAAGCTTAAACAATATGTCGTAAACAACAAGTCGTAAACAATATGGACGCAATCTAACGTGTTAGTCAGACAAACGCTTTAGTAGAGTTACCATGTCTTTTGCGGTACGCCGACGGGACAAGACAAGCTGTCCTATTTCAAGATTGAGAAGTTGTAATCACCGGTACTTATTATATGAATAAATATGTATTTTAAATGTTACAGTTGCCATTTTTCTTAAATGTCGCTTTAGTGGATCCACCGCTCCTAACACGGGTTGAAAGGTGCCCATGCTCGACTTTGAACTTAAATAATTACGTGTGCCTGAGTTAAGTAGGAAAACTTGTCCTTACTGCACCGTCGCGAGGACATATATAGAACGTGTTCCAAAATGTATGCATTGCTTGACGAATCATGACTCTCTAATCGCTTTTTTCTTCTCAGGGTTTAATTAATTGAGGGAAAACGAAGATTTCTTTTCAAATGCTATCGCAAGCACGAAATGTAGCAACAATATAACAACAATATTGCTGGGAATTTCAAGGAGGTCCACCACACGGCTTACGTTAATAGGGTAAACGGTGAAACGAACCGTCTTGTTCAGTATGTTCATAGATGATGTTCCTGAGACCAAGAAGATCAACAGGTTTTACCGGTTAAAAAAAAGTGCCGGAAAGATATAGGGAACACTTGTAGGACAATCAAATGGCATCGGCAAACGAAGTAAGTGGCAAAAATGGCATGTGCTATCCATGAAGATGATTCGAAGCGACTAAATCCGTTCTCCGAATGTGAACAAGGAAGATCGTTTAACGTGATCAGGGCACAGCTTGATTAAATTATAAAATATTAAAATAATAAACATGGTAGCATTTATTGGGCGATTGTAATTCTCAGAGATGTAACTTTGTATGGTGCAGTCTCCAAGCAAGAAATATTAAACCGGCTACATTAATTTTTGCAGTGCAATGGTAAGTGTGGACAATTTGGATTTGCTTTAAGAATCTGTTTCACAATGCACTTGAAAGCATTTCAATAGAGATGACATATCTTATTCTCAATAGGATCGAGCATCTGAAGTGTACAGGTCAATAATAGTCGAGCATTACTATACCCGGTGCGTTGACAAGAACGCTGAAAAATCTAACTATCGGTAACAAAAAAAAGATATTATAGACAATTTAAATGTGAATTGTCTGCACATATAAACTAAAGCTGAAGTCAAAATAATAAACCGTGTATAACGAAGCTGCCTCTCGTAGTTGCTTTTAGAAAAAGTGCAATCAGAATCAATCAGCTGTTTTCCTTTTGAAAGGGAAGCTACCCCGGAAGCATTTACATGCCAAACGCTGTATGTTTCATTGCACTCAGTTATCGGAATTTAGTCGCTTCTAATAATTTTACAGATTTTTTACGAATATGTATCCGTGGTTCTTTCACGGGTGAATCGTTCCGCTCCTCAGCCGTTTTATGAGATATCATTGCCGTAGCTATCCGCATATGGGACAACAGCTAATGAGAACTAATTTTGTACCCTGTGTAGTTAAGATTTTCCAATTTAATACTGGGAGAACTTGGGTGTAGCTAAGTTACAACTGAAACCTGAAATCGAATCAGCGCATCGTTAGAGCGTGGTTCCGTGAGCGTGATTTCGGTAGAATTAGTCACTAGTAGGCACCATATTTTGATTTGAATACACACTTGAGATTAGGTTTTATCGAGCAGATGACAAATATTGTAAATTCTTATTTTAAGTTTATGTAAATTTTACAGATTCAATGCAGATAATCGTCTCTAACGATTCCATAAAATGTATTTTTTATTCATTCATCATTTTTATTCTAGGATACTATCGTGGGATTTGGGTGTCGACGATATGGCGCAAGGTAATAAGCGCTGCTCGAGTATCGCAATAAAATCACCATGAAATAGTTAATATATTGGTTTTTAGTTTTTGTTTATTTATGCCAATTTCGTAGTGATAGAACTGAGAGTGATCCAGCTAAAACGTAAGCAATAGTTCATGATCTAAGTGGTGGCGGGTGATAGACACAATGATTGCTCAAGTTGAAGCAGTAGCGCAAAGAAATTAGCTTCAACAAATCCAAATAGAATATATTTTCAATGCTGACAACTGACTGTAGATTTACTGGACAAAATCAATCATATTTTGTTCTGTGTAATTTTTGAGAGATCTTTCTATTTGAGCGAAAACTAAAACCCTTCTGAGAAACTGGACCGTGTTTAACAGCTGAGAATCTTGAATTACAAACGCATTTAGCAGAAATACGTACGTCTCCAAAAACGAGCTTGCATTATGTTTCGTTACATCGGCAAATGACAAAAGCAAAAAACAACAAGGCTTGCCTATGTATTGAAAAAACGAACAACAAAAAAAATAATAATAATACTATAAATAATAATCGTTCCATTATATTTTGCTATAGACTATGTCTTGTGGCATTTAGCTCCTCAACAGTTGGAATAACCCACCTCGGACACAGGGATGTCGTAGCAGTCGGCGATTTTCGAATAGAGCTCTTTGATGTTTGTAAAGCCGGAGATGATCCCTGTGGGTGAGCCCTGCGCCTGCTGGCAGTGAAACACCAATTTAGATGGCGGAGGCGAAGGCGGCGCATTTCGGTAATGTCTGTCGGCAGCAGCCCGATCCCGATCGAACACATCCGGATGGGAACCATTTCCTGAATTTAGTTCCTCTGTGTCCGCATCTCGCCGACGGCCAAGAAGTGAGGAGAACAGCGGCATTCTGAACAGAATCAAAAGAAGACATAAAAAGTCACGTGAACTTACATCATGTATGTATTGGCTGGATGTAGATATGTATCTGTCCATCGTGTGGATCAATTAAGTTTGGTAAAACACATTGCGCACAACTATATACACACACTGTGAAATATCATGATTACGACTTTCAATCGTGGACTTCTAGCGAACCTTAGCATATGCTCAAATCTGTTTTATCGGTGAAGCTCTTTTTTCTCACAACTAACATAACCCTCTGGTAAACAACACGGCTTCAAACAATATCGATAATGCGCTTGGGTTAATCATAATATTCCAGTTCGATTTAAAAGAAATGGGAAGGTATATGACCCTCAAAGATGGCTAGGAAAAGCTTCATAAACTACCAATCAGATAATTGGCAAGGACGGAAATGTGTCAGTTAATATGTAAAATAAGTTATCCTAGTAATTAACATTGATTAGTTGAATGTATAGTTTAACTATTGCTAACTGGCACAATGGAGCGCATATTATTTGCTTTTCCACTTATTTTTCAAGTGTCGTACAGCGTATCTACTGGACTCAGGCTCATGAATAAACAGGAACACTGCGCTGTATCGTGCCGTGATTATTTTTTTCGATTTAGATTACAATTATTGTTAACATTTGATGAAAAGAATAAGAACTTATCCTTTTCATCAAATGGTGGCACCTGCGGTAGAAAAATGGCCGCAAACAATGTTATATGAATTTGTTTAACTATAATACAAAATAATCAATTCTGATTATTTTAAATGGGCTTGCGATTCGTAGAGCCGAGCACTCCTCACATGCTCGTTACTAACATGGCCGTCTCCTGGCCTGGATCCATAAATGCGGATCGTGCGATATATTGGGTCGTCGAAGAAGCATTGACCGTTTTTTACGCCAAAATTAGAGCAATAGTGTGATACTTTAAAAGAATATCATTAAAGTAAATATGTCCCACGAGCCTCTGCCATTTTTCTGGCTCGGTAACACCGGATCTAGTATTTATTGATTCTACGATTTCTGGGCGAAGAGCGTGACAGCTGGTTGAAGCTAAATGAATATTATTAACAAAATTTTGTCGAGACCGACAGAGATCGTGAAAGTTTGATGGTTCAAGATCCGGGTTATACGGCAGATGATTAAGGTCTCTCATGCACGTTTTCTCCGGATAGTTAGGGATGTATGTGGTTTAGCGTTATCATTGTGGATTACAATGCCTTTTCCATTTACTAGCAACAGTCAGTCTTTTTAATGAATTGTGGTAATCTTGTCAGTTGTTGACAGTAGAGCTCCGAATCGGAGCGGCAGCAACTCATAATGCTCGTTCCCTTCCCAATTCCACCAAAGATCTTTTTTAGCGTCAATTTGGGCTTTACCAGATTATTTATTTTTTCCTTTTCCCATTATTGTCGTATATGATCCACCTTCACTGGCGATTAACTACACTAGATATAGCTCAAATTTATCTTGTTCCGCGCATGGAAATACGATCGAGTAACTTCTTTCGCGTCGATTCACTTATTGCATTTTTTTGTGGCCAACTTTCTTCAAATAGTCTAAAATTGTTTAATGGTGAACATTTAGTTCCATGGCGACATTATGGCTACTTGCGTATCGGCAGCCGCGCAACTCTCGCAATAATTCCATCAATCTTTACCGTAATTAGGCGATCACTACGAGGAGCATCTCTCACGGAAAAAACGGCAGAACTATTTTCGGACCGCTTCTTTCGATGACACGTCTTGACCATAAACAGTACAGAGTTGTTTAGGGGCCTGGGCTCATAAAACGTAGCGGATTTTTATGGGAGTTCGACAATCTTTAAAGCGTTTTATCCTAAGTGTGAATAAAGCCATTCCGACAATTTTAGCACGTCGACTACTATTAAATCTCGATATTCACATGACACCAACGCCAATCCGACGCAACTTATGTTACCTGAGCTATGCAACTTGGAAGTTCTCTAGCTAGAAGGCGGTCGATACTTTTTCGATAATTAAATATATTTATCAAACTTTTAGATTACCCCCGCTATGCATGCAAGAGATGCTTGGCCGCTTAAAAAACATTGATACTGTCTTAATAAAGCGCAACCTTTATGTTCGTTTATCATAGCGTTTATGTTTTTCAATCAATAATAACATCATGCCGTGAATTTAAATAACCTTAAGAAACACTATAAATTAGCGAGACAGCAGCCATTGTATTCTTCCGATCAAGTGTGCCGTTTGTCTGTAGAATAGAACAAAGTACATGAAACATACATGGCCTGATGTTTCCTATCTAAATAGCTAAAGTTTATTATAAAAAAAAAAAACAGCTATTTTGTAGGATGTAGGTCCGTTACATTTCTCTGTTTCTTCAATATTGCTAAATTGAACTTTTCGATTGCTACATCGTTAACGATAATTCATTAGAGTAACGCTACCTTTGCTTAGCCGAGTGTAATTAAATCAGGATGAAAACACGGCCAAAGAACCTCGTAACACTGTAGATGGCGACAGAATATGCTAACAATTGACAACAGGCGCGTATTTATAAGGTAACGAATTAAGTGAACAAATTCGTGTTGACCTTTCTGGTCGCTGACCCATTGTATTCGTCTATTAGGAAATAGTCTATTGTGCTTCAAGTACGGCTGATTTATACCGTAACTTTTTTGCGTATAGTCTATAGGTATCGAAATAGCAAATGGCTTTCTCGGATGAGTTATCTGAAGGTCGTTTTCTTTCATTATCTAATCACCAGCTTCGGCTCGTGTATACACGTCGAGAAAATTTAAACTTCTACATTACCGCATTCAAAATAAAAACATTGTCAGTTAGATCAATATTTAAAACTAATTTTACCAAAATCAAGCATCCGTACAGTTACGTTAGTGTTCTGATACAACCCAAACTTCCTAGAAATAAACTTTGTGACTGAATCGGTCGGTGCAAGATAACATTATTATTGCTGATTTATCGAATAAATTAAAGTAATCAATACGTATAGGCCTAAACAGATAATTCCAAGCCTATTTTGTTACGTTGAACAATGGGTACGCCAAACTGTCATGCGCGGAATAACGCAAATACTATGCTAACACGATAACTAAATTCTGAAATATATAATATACGAACTCTGACATAAGTTACGCCATTCGTGCATTTGATGCGATCTGTAGAGTAAGGCAAAACTGTTTTGACAATTGGAGAGTCTACATTTCACATCCGTTTAGGTAGTAGGAAATACACAAATTGAATTGTGTATTTCCTAAACGGATTGAACATTTATAGCAGGAACATAATTTCTGTAGTCCTATAATATTGTATTATAATGCCGTAGGGTTAGCATGTGTAAATCGCAACAGCTGCAGCAATGACTACTGTGGTCATCGAAATGATTTTATTTAATAATGTTCAACAACCCTGTACTATGCTTATAAGGTAAAATTATAGGTATATAAAAATGACATTACGGTGAACTTGTTCCAAATACGTTGCACAGTTAAATTTGCTCTTTATCACGATAATTTATGTATCTTCTGTTATCTAAAGGACTTCAAATCACTCGAAGACCCTGCATAGTTAATTAATCCATAAGTCTTTACTTTAGTAGCATAGCTAACAAACAGCTTTTCTCTTAACTGCTAACTACTTTCATAATGGTAACATCGAGCGGTGAACAACTTAACGTACTTCTTCGTTGTCACGGGTAGCCGCAACACGCGGCCCCTATGGTGCAGTAGCGTAAGTTATTCTTCCGCAAACCAGTGTTGGAGCACTTAATAGAAGAAACGTTAATGCGACGGTGCATACGTATCGTTATGGCGTTCGTACAAAAGAAACATGTAACCGTTCACGAAGACAGACAGTCAAAGATAAACAAACAAATAGGCGACTGTGAGATGAGTTCCTTTACGTCGATGACTGGTCTTCACCTGGAGATTAACCTTGTACTAGACGATAGGTGGTGTTTGCGAAGCGTTATTTGTGAGTTTGCCGCAGACAGGTCACGATCGCCGATCTAGAATCTACTTCTGTGATGGAACATGTGCGAAAAAGCTAGGATGGGAAAAACTAATCTAGCGTAACTGTAGAATACTGGACTGTTGCGCTGCTATAAGATATATTAATTTGAATTTATTTAATAATTCAGTAGCGTATATCGCTATATTATTCATTTAAATGGCATATTGTGGTATATATAGATGTCATGCCTAGCGCAAGTTAGCCAAGTAAAAGTATCAATGAGACTCGTATAACGCAAAGTGTCTTTATGATCTTGAAATACTTTGATGTCTGGTTATTAAGCTGTATATATGAAGCGTTTAACATATTTATTTACCTGCCAACAAGGGCCGAAATGGATTAAAGTAGACTGAAAATAATGTTATTTAAAACTTGAGTAGCACTTGTAGCGATGGTAATATGAGTGTGCTGAACTAGTGTTTCTAAACAATTGTAAGTTACTCTTTTGGCCGTAACTAGAACGCCGCTGCTAAACGAAGGATGCTGACGGCACAACAAAGTTTTGATCAGGGATGAAAAATACAGCGTTGTGTAACAAGTACACCTTGTTGACTCGATTTAACTGAGCAGAAAGTGGGTGGGTGAGTGACAAATGTTGAACCCAGTTATAATACCAGAGATTCGATTTCTCGCAATTAATGGTTTTTTTTTTGTAGCAATTCGCTATACAAAAGTTTCTTACTCTATATGTGTTCATCGTAAAGCTGTATTGTACGATAACATGGTTAACCTATTTTGAGAAGCCATGGACTAGGCACAAGCGTTGCTAGCCCTAAAATTAGTGCGTAACAGCCTGGAAAATGCAGATAGTCCGTGAAAATATAGTTTAACTTAAAAAGAACCATTGAAAAATAGACTTTTAGTATGAATCCATATAATGGCACACAGTTTTCCCCATTGGCATTAATAGAATTAAACAATACGACCACGTGCTGTTTGTGACGAAAACATTAAAAAAAATACTGCTGATAGACCAGCCA